GATTAAATTATACACACTATCTAACATGGGAAGGGTCCTTGTTGTTTTTAGTGTCTTGGCAAATTGACCAAGGCTTAACCCTTATTATCATAGAATCAAAGAGTTGGAAGAGACCTCATGGGCCATCCAGTCCAACCCCCTGCCAAGAAGCAGGAATATTGCATTCAAATCACCCCTGACAGATGGCATCCAGCCTCTGCTTAAAAGCTTCCAAAGAAGGAGCCTCCACCACACTCGGGGCAGAGAGTTCCACTGCTGAACGGCTCTCACAGTCAGGAAGTTCTTCCTCATGTTCAGATGGAATCTCCTTTCTTGTAGTTTGAAGCCATTGTTCCACGTCCTAGTCTCCAAGGAAGCAGAAAACAAGCTTGCTCCCTCCTCCCTGTGACTTCCTCTCACATATTTATACATGGCTATCATATCTCCTCTCAGCCTTCTCTTCTTCAGGCTAAACATGCCCGGCTCCTTAAGCCGCTCCTCATAGGGCTTGTTCTCCAGACCCTTGATCATTTTAGTCGCCCTCCTCTGGACACATTCCAGCTTGTCAATATCTCTCTTGAATTGTGGTGCCCAGAATTGGACACAATATTCCAGGTGTGGTCTAACCAAAGTGGGATAGAGGGGTAGCATGACTTCCCTGGATCTAGACACTATGCTCCTATTGATGCAGGCCAAAATCCCATTGGCTTTTTTTGCCGCCACATCACATTGTTGGCTCATGTTTAACTTGTTGTCCACGAGGACTCCAAGATCTTTTTCACACATACTGCTCTCGAGCCAGTCATTGTCCCCCATTCTGTATCTTTGCATTTCGTTTTTCCTGCCAAAGTGGAGTATCTTGCATTTGTCCCTGTTGAACTTCATTTTGTTAGTTTTGGCCCATCTCTCTAATCTGTCCAGATCGTTTTGAATCCTGCTCCTGTCCTCTGGAGTATTGGCTATCCCTCCCAATTTATTATCCAGTGTGGTGTCCTTGTCTTTAGGAAAACTATAAATTACTATCTTTTACGGGGCGGTGTCATGTTCGACTTCACTTTTGTGCCACCCTCCAGAGTCAGAAGGGGACTCCTGAGAACATGCAAAGGGCATGCCCCTCCATAAAATAAATAAATAAGATATAGAAGGAAATGAAATGTTTAACTTTTTGATTGCCCTTGTGTTATTTAATTACAACCTTATCCAGAAGACTGAAATCCAAAATACTCCAAAATCCAATGTTGTCCATATAGGTGGCTGAGATGGTGTCATCTTTGCTTTCTGGTGGCCCAGTGTACACAAACAGTGTTCCATTCCCAAAATTATTAAAATGTTTTATATAAAATTACCTTCAGGGTATGTGTATAAAGTGTATAAACACAAATGAATTTTGAATTTAGATTTGGCTCCGACCTCCAAGATATCTCAAATACATGCATGCAAACGCAGATGTTCCTCAATCTGAAAAAAATTCAATATCCAAAACCGGTCTGAAACATTTGGTATAAGGGATGCTCGACCCGTATTTAAGGGTTTTTTTTCTGATTAATTTTATGAATGTAAACTGCTTTGGTTTTGGAGGAGGGGAATACAATAAACTGCTCAGAGACTGTTAATTTAAAATGTAATAATGGGCTGATGTAGGATCTACAATCCTTTGAAAACAAAAACAAGTTTTCCATTGCTTCCCAGCTTTTTATTCTTCCTTGGAATTCCACTTTCAAGCCTTTGAGATGAAAGTAAGCGGAATGTAATTCCATGGGGAGATTGTGTTGCCGCTCACTACTGATTAATGTCCGTTCATTGTAAAAGGACGACTTTTTGACCCTTGTTAACCGTTGTTCCTGGTGTTCCGCTAATCCTCCGTGGAGGAAATCTAAGCCCCAAGGCCTGGTCATCAAAAGATCTCATAGGGCTCTTTGCAAGCAAAGGGTGATAACCCCTGTGTCCTCCCAGGTTTCAGTTTGGGTCATTAGATGCTGCTGACCTCAATTTCCCCTGGGCTTTGAACTGGATACGGTAGTCTGCCCTCCATCATACAACTGTTTCCATACATATGTAGCTGTTATTGCCTAATTAAGGGAGAATTATAGTTACTCTTTACAAAAAGATATCAGAATCAACTTTGAAGTGCATTTGGATGGAACTGAGCTTCAAGACATTCTCGAAAACTAAAGATCATAAGGTCTCCTCAAGCCAAGGCCCCACGAATCCTATTCCTTTAGAGCTGTGGTTCCCAACGTGTGGTCTATGGACCACCAGTGGCCTGCAAGAACTAAAATATGGTCTGTGGCCTCACCATTACTACACCATTGCAATGAGAAACCCGTCTTGTGAAACCCTTTAATAATGCCAGGATCTATTAAATATGGTTTTCTGTGGGCGAGCAGATGGTGAGTACTGGATTGCATATGTTCCGTATCAGAATCATAGAATCATAGAGTGGAAGAGACTTCATAGGCCATCCAGTCCAACCCCCTGCCAAGAAGCAGGAAAATTGCATTCAAAGCACCCCCGACAGATGGCCATCCAGCCTTTGTTTAAAAGCCTCCAAAGAAGGAGTCTGGTCAAGTAGTCCCTGGTCAAGTAGTCCCTGGTCAAGTGGTCCCTGGTCAAGTAGTCCCTGGTCAAGGTGGTCCCCGGTCAAGTGGTCCCCGGTCAAGTGGTCCCTGGTCAAGTGGTCTCTGGTCAAGTAGTCCCTGGTCAAAGTGGTCCCTGATCAAAGTGGTCCCTGGTCAAGTGGCCTCTGGACAAGTAGTCCCTGGTCAAGTGGTCCCTGGTCAAGTTGTGCCTGGTCAAAGTGGTCCCCGGTCAAGTAGTCCCTGGTCAAAGTGGTCCCTGGTCAAAGTAGTCCCTGGTCAAGCGGTCCCTGGTCAAAGTGGTCCCTGGTCAAGTGGTCCCTGGTTAAAGTGGTCCCTGGACAAAAAAAGGTTGGGAACCACTGATTTAGATGAATCAATATTTAAGTCTCAGATGTTGGTGAGGAAGGCACAAGCCTGGCACTATCAATTGCAAAATTTCCTGGCCTCCCTGGGAACGTTGCCACAAATGTCTGCCTTCCCTCCCCAGTACAAAAAATAGTCCACTCTCCCATGACAAACATCTGTTCCTTTCTAAGAATGGGACTGGAGCCAAAGGGAAGATGAGCTTCTAACCAGAAGCACTGCTGCCCATCCTGCCACTTTGTAAGCAAGCTTCTAGGACCAATTTATGGGGAAATCTCAAGTGGTCCCCTATTGTTGTTACAACTGATGGTTTGCTGGTTGATAAAGCAAGATTCCTCCAAAATTTGTCTTTAGGGTTGGTGGGCGAAGAATAGACGAGTCCTTACACAAAATAAAGGAATATAAAAACCCTACAAAGAGTCATTCCAGACAGGCCCAATATCCCAGAATCTGATCCCAGGTTTTCTGTTTATCCCAGATTATCTGGTGTTGGAATTCAACCCCACACTGCCCAAGTCTCAAGTCCTCAATGAGAAACAGTTTAGTTAGCTTAGTATAGATGAGTGGTTCTTAACCTGTGGCTGTGGACCACCAGCCAGCTGCGAGAATAAAAATCTGGTTCGCAAGACTGCATCCCCTTTATTTTATTTTATTTCTGCTCCTTTTGCGTCACCTGCCACTCCTTCCCTGTTGTTGACCATGGCATATGTTTTATATCACAAACTAGAGCTGATGTGGTCTATCCAATACACTTTTCTGAATCAGCACCTCAAATCAAATCTAAAGTTGACCAAAATTGAATTCATAACCGTTTTGGTACTAATGTTGGAGAGTGGTCTCTGGTCAAAGTGGTGCCCGGTCAAGTAGTCCCTGGTCAAAGTGGTCCCTGGTCAAAGTAGTCCCTGGTCAAGCGGTCCCTGGTCAAAGTGGTCCCTGGTCAAGTGGTCCCTGGTCAAAGTGGCCCCTGGTCAAGTGGTCTCTGGTCAAGTGCCCTTGATCAAAGTGGCCCCTGGTCAAGTGGTCTCTGGTCAAAGTGGCCCCTGGTCAAGTGGCCTCTGGTCAAAGTGGCCCCTGGTCAAGTGGTCTCTGGTCAAAGTAGCCCCTGGTCAAGTGGTCTCTGGTCAAGTGGTTCCTGGTCAAGTGGTCTCTGGTCAAAGTCCCTGGTCAAAAAAGGTATACACTAAAGGTTTCCTTCTCCCATGTCTCCTGTATACGACAGTTGGGAATGTATTGTTTTCTTCTCTCTTCTCTGTTTCTCCTTTCATTCTGATTGGTTGTTTAAAATTGATATTTTCAACTGGAAGCTTTTAAATCTGACTTCTGTCTTTTTACACTTTTGTATGGAGAGTATGGAAAGTATGTGCTGTGTGCTTTGAGATCTCTCTCTCCATGTGTGTCAGAGAGATGTAGAGATTGCTGTTTATTCCCTCTCTTGAAACCTTAGAAGAAATGGGTGTTAGAGTAGCTCAGACTCAGTTTGAAGATTTTAAATCTGTTTTGTGTGTGTTCAAGTAATTCCCCAACTATGGCAGCCCTAAAACTCATGGCTTCTCTTGTCAAGATTTGTTCAGAAGTAGTTTGTCCTTGTCTTCCACTGAAGTTGAGTCAGTGGTCCCATCTACACTGCCATAGAATCCAGTTTCAGAATGCAAACTAATTGCATTGAACTGGATTATATGGCAACGTAGATTCATATGATCTAGTTCAATACAGTTCGACCTGCATTATATGAGTCTACACTGACCATTATAATACAGTGACTTGCCTGAGGTCATGATGTCAGGTTGTGACCCCGGCAATTTCGTAGTCACAGTGCTTTTAGCCATGACTGCTCTCCAAAGGGCAAGGACCCTGTGTGCCACCCCATTGCCCTAAATGCTGCTATATCCAGGGCTCCTCATATGAGGGAGAGAGGCACATGTTGAAGCAACATTAGCAGAGGAAATATGGATCCAAGCATGGAGGGTGTCAAGAGCAGGACAAAAGCAACAGCCCTCAGTCAGTTAACAACTCGTGATCACATTACTCTGCCGGCCTGAGAATCAATAATACATTTACAGACATGTAAAGGCGGCAGACAGACCTCTGTCATTAGCCAAGGGGTTTGGGGCTGGGCTAAAAGCACGGTGGGTGATGGGAAGAGAAGCCTCCTTCCTTCCTTCCGTCCTACAACTCAGCGTGATTTGGGGCTCAACGGACAAAGTAAGCCACTTTTTGGGACAAAGCATAGGAAGCAAGGTATCAACCCTTTTCACTCGTGGTTTGCAAAAAGCAACTCAGGCTAGTGGGGAGAAGCTTTCTGTCTAAGACGGAAACTGGATCCATGAAGGAGAAGAACAGAGGCCTGAGAGGCTACCAGCCCTACGAAATAATTTAGCTGCCAGGCGCTATTTTGAGCCTGTTGCCGAGCTACCACGTTCCAAAGCCCATTCTTGGGGGAGATCGGTTACAGGGTGCAGACAATGGCGTGTAATGCAAGAGCATAGCGGTGCGGGGATGAGGCTTCCCTAAGGACTCCAAAGCAGGAGAAAAGAGTCTGCCTGGTGTGAACTGGGGAGGGGGGCAGGGGTTGGACTTTCTCTATTGCCGTGTGAAGACACCCCTCTTGTGAAGATACGAGTCCTCTGCGTGGAAAGAGGGCACAGCTTCCAAGCCTGGAGGTGTGAATAAGCCAGTAATAAATGTCCCAACTGTAGGATGGAGAAGAAGACAGCTCATTGAGTTTCTGAAGAACCAGTCTGGTTCACAAGACACAGTGAGCGTCCATCAGTTACAGGGCCCTTCATTGAAGGAAACCATTGGCATTCTGGGTCAGCCATGGATCTGTTTCCTTTGTGTTCTTTGAGATGTACATTGGAGGCTCCTGAAATTTTAATGAAGACACCAGATCTGAGAAGGAGGCCGCTCATGACAGGTGTGAATTTGCAGGACGTACCAGCATCTGCCTGAGCGCCTGGTACCTTGGCTGAGTCTCCAAAGCGAATGAACACAGAGGTGGGATGGCAACCAGCCCGTAAACCATCAACGATTGGAAGAGCAAGCTACACCAAGGGCCGGGGTCTGTAGGACTTGAGACTGTCCAAACTTGGCATCTCACAAGGTTGCTTTGTGGGACGTGCTGCTTCTGGGAGAAGAACATAAGACCTGAAGAAGCTGAGTGGACAGTTGCCAGGATGACACAAGCATTTTGGAAGGTCTACAAGGCCAAAGTAATGCAGACCCTTGGTGGAGAGTCACAAGAAGAGGATCTTGAAGATGAGGTAGAGGAACTCTTCTGGGGCTCCTTTTTACTATCTCTCATTTAGTGGGGAGAAGCTTTCCCTCTAGAGAAGCATTCCTCAACTTGGTGCCCTCTGGAGATGTTGGACCCGAATGTCCATAATCCCCAACCAATACGGCTGTGATGTCTGGGGATGAAGGCAGTTGTAAGCATGGTACAATTTGAAATCCTTAAACCGAAGTTAGCCAGTTGAGAGAAGAGGACCACAATTCTTTGTATGAGTGAGCTTAGACTGTATCTGCACTGTAGAATGAATATAGTTTGACACCACTTTAAGTGCCATGGCTCAGTGCTATGGAATCATGGGAGTACAAGGTCCTTAACCTTATTTTGAGCCTCCCAGGATTCCATAGCATTGAGCCATGGCAGCAAAAGTGTTGTCAAACTATATTGATTCATTAGTGTGGAGGCAGCCCTAGTTAATTCATCTGAATGGTTTTACTCCTGTTTAATTTTGTTCAAATTTGTTCAAATTTGAATGAGATGGAAAAAATAGTTTGAATGAAAGAAAAGCGTAATTTTTAAAATGTTGACCAGTGTTGTACCTTTGGGTATGTATCTTAGGATATATCTTCTTCTTCTGCCCAAACGTGCACACCCAGGGAACGCCCTTTATTCAGATGACTTGCACCTGTAGTTTTTGTAACTGATTGCATGAAAGTATGAATCACTTAAACTGATCTGCTGGCAGAGAGAGATCTAAATGTTTTATCTGTTTAGAGCAGTTTCTCAACCTGGGGGTCAGGAACCCTGGAGGCGAGTTTCAGAGGGGTCACCAAAGACCATCAGAAAACACATATTTCTGATGGTCTTAGGAACTCTTTTGGCAGAGAAGGCTGAAGACCTCTCTGCCTGTCCGTCTCTTCCTTTTTGGTGTTGGTGAACTACAACTCCCAGAATTCAAAAACAGCCAATCCCCCTCCCAAACCCCACCAGTACTGAGTGTTGGCCATGTAGGTATGTGCCAAGTTTGATGGGATCTGTTGTGGGCTGGGTTCAGAGTGCTCTTTGATTGTAGGTGAACTATAATTCCCAGCAACTACAATTCCCAAATGTCAAGGTCTATTTCCCCCAAACTCCACCAGTGCTCACATTTGGGCATATTAAGTATTCGAACCAAGTTTGAGTCCGCAGTATTCTCTGGAAGTAGGTGAACTACAACTCCAAAACTCAAAGTCTTCTAGTATTTTCTCTTGGTCATGGGAGTTCCAGGTTTGATTCAATTACAACGTTGCTGGAGTTCAGAATGTTATAGGTTAACTATAAATTCCAGCAACTACAACTCCCAAATGACAAAATCAGTGAATGAAAATACATCCTGCATATCAGATATTATTATTATTATTATTATTATTATTATTATTATTATTATTAAACTTTATTTGTACCCCGCTAGCATCTCCCGAAGGACTCGATGCGGCTTACAAAGGCCAAGGCCACAATACACGACATAACAATACACCTAAAGCAAATAAAACAATTAAAGCAGTATTAAAACAACAAAACAACAAGCAATAAACAATACATCAAAACACGATAAAACTGGGCCGGGCCAGAGTAAAGGGCACAGGATTAAAAGTGCTGATGTGACAGGTGATATATACGGATTATAGGGCAAGTGCAGAGTGCAGTGTGCGGCAATCTTAGTTCTACTAAAGTGCTTCTGGGACTTGGTATTGGAGATTTCCTAATCAGGGAAGGCACATCGGAACAGCCAAGTCTTCAAGTTCTTTCTGAAGACTGCCAATGTAGGGGCCTTTCTAAGATCTTTGGGGAGGGTGTTCCAGAGTCAGGGGGCCACCACGGAAAAGGCCCTGTCTTGTGTCCCCACCAAACGCGCTTGCGACACAGGCGGGATCACGAGCAGGGCCTCTCCAGATGAATGTAGTGAACGCGTGGGTTCGTACACGGAGATGCGGTCATGCAGGTAGGCTGGTCCCAACCCGTTCAGGGCTTTGTAGGTAAGCACCTGCACCTTAGATTGGGCTCGGAAGATAAACAGCAGCCAGTGGAGCTCCTTGAACAGGAGGGTTGACCTCTCTCTGTAGGGAGCGCCAGTTAACATCCTGGCCGCTGCTCGTTGGACCAGTTGGAATTTCCGAGCCGAGATATTTACATTACGATTCATAACAGTAGCAAAATTATACAGTTAAGAAGTAGTAACAAAAATAATGTTATGGTTGGGGATCACCACAACATGAGGAGCCGTTTTGAGAGGCTATGGCATTAGGAAGATACTAGAGAACCACTGGTTTAAACTGTAGCCCACCAAAACAAAACAAAAAAAAATGACCAGAGGAGGGCAGTACAACTCTTATAACTTAAGACAGAGTTCACCAAGTTCTAAAAGGGTAGATGGGGCAGGATAGGAAGACCCGAATGAACTGTTTTTGAACCCTGATTTCTCATCACTGTCCCAGGAAGCAATGATTCTTAATAGCATTGTGTACATTTTGTAATAATGTGTATGACCCAGCTGATTTCCAAAGTTTATCCCCTCCCAGTCATCGGCTCTGGACCTTTCCTCCTAAGTCCCTTACTATTGCAAAACAACTTTTAAAAAACGTATTTACTCCAGAATACCTGCAGTCTAGAGATTGTGGAGGGAATTTCCTCCATATTTGGAGACCCACTGGGGCCCCGAGGGGTCAAAAACATTTTCCCCCAAAAAATGTTTTTTTCCCCCTCAAAATGTTCTAAAATGTCCATGAAATGCATTTCCAACAGATTTTTCAGGCTGCAAAGGTCAATTGGAGCCCCACAGAGGCCTTTCTGATCCCCAAAATGTGGTGGAAATGCTTAAGCAGCTGGGGGGGGGGGGGGGGGGGGGGGGGGAGAGAATAAGGGTGGTTGAGGCCAGGAATTGTGGGAATTGAAGTCCAAAACTCCTAGAAGGCCAAAGTTTGCACCTGCCTGCTCTATATATTCTAGAGGTGCTTTGGGTCATTGTTATTGTTGTTATTGATGTTGTTAGTCCAATATGGTTTGATCTGACTGGCAGTTGCTCTTCTGTGTCTTGGAAAGAGAGATGCTCCATCTATAGCAGTGTTTCTCAACCTGGGGGTCGGGACCCCCATGGGGGTCGCGAGGGTGTGTCAGAGGGGTCACCAAAGACCATCAGAAAACATAGTATTTTCTGTTGGTCATGGGGGTTCTGTGTGGAAAGTTTGGTCCAATTCTATCGGTGGGGTTCAGAATGCTATTTTATTGTGGGTGAACTATAAATCCCAACAATTACAACTCCCAAATGGCAAGGCCTATTTTCTCCAAACTCTACCAGTGTTCACATTTGGGCATATTGAGTATTTGTGCAAGGTTTGATCCAGATCCATCATTGCTTGAGTCCACAGTGTTCTCTGGATGTAGGTGAACTACAACTCCCAAACTCAAGGTCAATGCCCACAAAACCCAGTGTTTTCTGTTGTTCCATTGGTCATGGGAGCCAAGTTGGGTTCAAATCCATCGCTGGTGGAGTTCAGAATGCTCTTTGATTATAGGTGAACTATAAATCCCAGCAACTACAACCCCCAAATGACAAAATCAATCCTCCCCCAACCCCACTAGCATTCACATTTGGGCATATTGGGTATTTGTGCTCAATTTAGTCCAGTGAATGAAAATATATCCTGCATATTGGATATTTACATTACGATTTATAACAGTAGCAAAAGGACAGGTATCAAGTAGCAACGAAAACAATATTATGGTTGGGGGTCACCACAACATATGGAACGGCATTAAGGGGTCACGGCATTGGCAAGGTTGAGAACCACTGATCTATAGTGCCATATAATGCACTTTGAAACTGCATTTGCACTATATCGGTCTACACACTGACCATTAAATGCAGCTTCAAACTGTATCAATGGTAGTGTAGATAGACCCTAGTCCTTCCTGTTCCAAGCTCTTGGGATCAAATTCAGGAGCTGTAACCCAGAGATGAGAAACTTCTATTCTGACCTTAAGGTAGGTAAAGGCTCTTCACCATTCTTTCATGGCTTCTGGTTGTCACCAATTGGAGAATCAAGCATCCCCTCCTTTAAAATCCATAAGATAAAGGTATGCACTTAGGACATAATTTGAATGTTGTCTCATGGAGTCAAGCTCTCCACTCTGAAGGCATTTTGCAGGCTACTGCATGAAACATGACCATGCAAGTTAGTTTGCAGGTTGTACATATTTTATACCTGATGGGAAATTCTCCATATTGATGAGGCTTATCCCTCTGTATTCTCATTTTGAGAGTGAGAACAGTATAGTGGCTTGAGCATAGAATCATAGAATCAAAGAGTTGGAAGAGACCTCATGGGCCATCCAGTCCAACCCCCTGCCAAGAAGCAGGAAAATTGCATTCAATCACCCCTGACAGATGGCCATCCAGCCTCTGTTTAAAAGCTTCCAAAGAAGGAGCCTCCACCACCACTCCGGGGCAGAGAGTTCCACTGCTGAATGGCTCTCGCAGTCAGGAAGTTTTTCCTCATGTTGGAATCTCCTCTCTTGTAGTTTGAAGCCACTGTTCCATTGCGTCCTAGTCTCCAGGGAAGCAGAAAACAAGCTTGCTCCTCCTCCCTGTGGCTTCCTCTCACATATTTATACATGGCTATCATATCCCCTCTCAGCCTTCTCTTCTTCAGGCTAAACATGCCCAGCTCCTTAAGCTGCTCCTCATAGAGCTTGTTCTCCAGACCCTTGATCATTTTAGTCGCTCTCCTCTGGACACATTCCAGCTTGTCAATATCTCTTGATCATTTTAGTCGCCCTCCTCTGGACACATTCCAGCTTGTCAATATCTCTCTTGAATTGTGGTGCCCAGAATTGGACACAATATTCCAGGTGTGGTCTAACCAAAGCAGAATAGAGGGGTAGCATTACTTCCCTAGATCGAGACACTATGCTCCTATTGATGCAGGCCAAAATCCCATTGGCTTTTTTTGCCGCCACATCACATTGTTGGCTCATGTTTAACTTGCTGTCCACGAGGACTCCAAGATCTTTTTCACATGTACTGCTCTCAAGCCAGGCATTGTCCCCCATTCTGTATCTTTGTATTTTTGCATTGGACAACAACTTTAGGAAAACAGGGTTGGGATCTCCTTAGTCAACTCAAAACTTCCTCAGCCTCAGGAGAAAGCAAAGGCATGCTCCCTCTAACAAGTTCTGCCAAGAAAAACCCGTGATTGGGTTGCCGTAGCATCGCCAAACATTGGAAATGAAGGCCGAGAGTGACAACAATGCTCATTTCACTTATTTATTCATTTGCAGTATTTATATTCCACCTTTCTCACCCCAAAGGGGACTCACAAAACACAAATACAGCAAACATTCAATGCCGTTATACAATGACAAGACAGACAACTGTAAATAGATAGAGGTATATTTAGGCTTTCCCATCTTCGGTATCTTGGAGGCTGTTCTCGGTTCCAGCTCTTTCCCTTGCCCACTTATGGATGTGCTCCCCTAGCCCTTCCTTTTTTTTTAAAGTATTTTTTATTATTTTATCATAGTTAATACATTTGTTATGCATTTGTTTACAGCAGATACATATTATTCAATACATCTAACATACTTTGGCATCTAGTATTCTTATTCTGCTTAAACATATTTTCTATTCCTCACCACTGTGCTCCCCTCCCCCCTCTCAAGCCACAACTTTTACATGTCATCTATCCAAAATCTCAATTCTTCTTGTGGCGGTAACTTTCCTTCTTTCTTTTTTAATCCTTTTACAATAAATTTTCTCCATACATCATCAAAATCACTTTGTTTCCATATACCTCTTTTAACTTTTAATATACATGTCAGCTTATCATTTATTGCCAATTTCCATACTTCCTTATACCACTCTTCTATTTGTATATTTATTTCTTTTTTCCAGTTCCTTGCTATAAGCAGTCTTGCTATAGTTAATAAATTTGTTATCGCTTCTTTATTCTCTTTTTTCAATTGTTTATTGTTATATAATAATAATAAAGCTATACTAGGACTTCTCTCTATTTTAGTATTAATTATATCTTCTATTTCTCTAAATTCTTTTCCCCAAAATTATTTACATATTTACATTGCCACCACATATGTATATATGTTCCTGATTCTTGACACCCTCTCCAACAATTTTTTGAATAATTTTTATTTATGTGTGCTAATTTTACTGGTGTTAGATACCATTTCCATATTAACTTATAATAATTTTCTTTAACCCGTATTGATAAATTTTTTAGATGTCTTTGTCTCCATAATTGTTGCCACWGTTTCATTTATTTTTATCCCTAAATCTTCTTCCCAAACCTCCTTCAGGGTGTTATTTTTTGTGTTTCCTTCCTTTATTTCAATTATTAACTTATATATTTTACTAGTTATTCCTTTCAAATTTTCATGCTCTTCTACAACCCATTCTGTATTATTTGTTCAAATTGATTAAGCTTGCTTCCGTTTTTGTTATTTTCCCCCCCAATTTTTAAGCCATTGTTCTAATTGTATGCAATGGAACAATGTCAATTTTATTTCTCTAAATTCTTCCATAATCGTTTCCTTCTTCATTACAACCTTTATCCAATCCCCTATTTTGTCTAAATTCCCTTAACTTTTTATCCATTACTTTAAAAAAAAATGGAAATTTCTTTTCCATTACAATTGGGGTTATCGCTGAACCATCCGTTATTAACATTCTCCTATATTTGTTCCTTCTAATATATTGCTCAACATTGGGTTTCTAATTTCCCTAATTTCTTTTCTCGTAAACAGTTTAAAAAATATATTCCAAATTCCTTCTTCCACTTCTTCTGAATCCTTACTTAGCCAATCTACTCCCTCTTTTTTTATCATTCTTTCTATAACCAATCTTAATCTACTTGCTTCATAATATTCTTTAATATTAGGGAGTGCTAATCCTCCCTCTTTTTGCGATCTGTACCATAACTGTTTATTTAATCTATTTCTTTTACTACCATTGCAATACTTATTTATCATTTGTTGCCATCTATTTAGCTCTTTTTCTGTAATTTGAAGTGGCAGCATCCTAAATATAAAATTAATCTTTGGAAGTATTTTCATTTTTACTAATGCTATCCTTCCAAACCAAGATAAATGTATATTTTCATAATCTATTACATTTTTGAACAACGTTTCTCAATGTTACTTCATTTACCTCTTACATTTCTTTTAAATCCTTTGTTATTATTACTCCCAGGTATTTTAATTTCCTCTAGCCCTTCCTAAAGTACAAGTCAAACAGTAGATCAAGGCAGGCCTTCTAGATTTTGTTGGGAGTTCATCTCCCATCATCTCCAACCAGATCGCTAATGTGTGGAGGAAGGAGAGCTAGAATTATCCAATGCCTGACCACAGATCAACCATTCCTTTCATCAGCGTGTTGGTGTCTCTCCTCTGTCAATTTATTTTTCAGAGAGAGAGTCCTGAAATGATGGAAACTACAGATTCAACACTGCTGACAGAGGAAGGGTCCAACCCTGTTTCTCAACTGGCACGAAGGGTAAGGACTGGCCATCGTTTCTATTCAGAGTGAAACTTGATTTAAAGTCCCTGAACCTGAGCACAAACTGAGTTCAAATTGGGTTTGTATTTATTTATTTACAGTATTTATATTCTGCCCTTCTCACCCCATAAGGGACTCAGGGCGGACCACAGAACACATACATGGCAAACATTCAACAGACAGGACAGACAACAGATAGAGGTATATGTCAGAATTTTCCCCAACTTTGGTGTTCTGGAGGTTGTGCTCGATTCTGGCCACAAGGGGGTGCTGTTGCTACATCCTCTATGACGAAGAGCCCTTGATCATAGACGTCCTCCTTTCTTTGATTGCTGGCATTTTCTGGTATTTCCTTTTTGTGGTGACGTAAAATACCTCCCCGCTGAAGCTGTGCCTAATTTCTCTACTCACAGCTCACAGCTGTTTTCAAACTGCTTAGGTGGACGGTGAGCTGGGCTGAAGATCGGGTGCTCACCTCGACCCAGGCTTCGAACTGTCAACCTTTTGATTGGTGTGATCTGTTGCTGCTGGTGATTAACCAGCTTCAGGAAATACATTAGGCAGTCCTCAAGTTACACACAAGATAGGTTCTGTAGATTTGTTCTTAAGTTGAATTTGTATGTAATTTGGAACAAACATTTACTTCATTTTTACCCTGACTTTCTCACCTGAGGAGACTCAAGTACATTTTTTTAGGTGCAGCTCCAGCCAAATACCTATATATATAAAAGCTTTGTACTTCATTAGACATGCCAAGTTGAACACAATTTTGCACTGTAGTCAGAGATAGACATTTTTTGTTTGGAGGCAAAGGGCAAGGTGCAGTCTTCATGTAGTAATGGGCTGAATTGCTAACTGAACCTTATACTTCGGGTGCTTCGATGATATTTCAACTGATGTTTTAAATCTGTCTGCAATGCTAGAAATTGGAGGACTGAAGGAACATGTCATGGCAGTGCACAATTCTTATTTGGGAGGTTCAGTGTCCTCATGTCCCCCTTCAGAGTGATATCCCCAACTTTTCTAACTGGGGAGAGGATTGGGTTCTTCATCTCAGTCAAGAGCTAAAGGGGCAGGGAAATGTGTTTCGGTCTATTTCCTAGTTAAGCAAAGACCTCCTGGGCCTGAAACAGCTTCCTCTTCCCCCAGTGACATTTCCTCACACGCCCCTAGACAGTTTAAAAATATAAGACATTTGCAATTTTAAAAAATTACATGGCAGTGTAATTGTGCACAGAGGTATGTGCAGTCCTGCAAGATCTTGCAATGAGCTGACATGGCTCTCCAACAGCAAGCAGATGGAGCAGCCTGCTTTAGGAAATACAGGCAGTCCCCAAGTTACACACAAGATAGATTCTAAGTTGAATTTGTATGTAATTTGGAACAAGTAAATTTTTTAGGTGCAACTCCAGCCAAATATCTATATACGATGGTTATCCGGAGAGGAAGGTTACGAGATTTGTTTAAAAATACAAAGAATCAATATCTATATAAATAAAAATGTAATGTTAGTTTGTGGGATTAACGTAACTCAAAAACCACTGGACAAATTGACACCAAATTTGGACACAAGATACCTCTCAGGCCAACGAGTGACCATCACTCATAATAACACTGAAAAACATAGCAGAAGGGACTTAAAAAGCCAAAAACCAAAAAAACCATTACAACAACTGCAAAACTACATATATATACACACACATATACACAAAACACAAATATATACACACACAAAACACATATACACAGACTAGGCCACAGCAACGCGTGGCAGGGCACGGCTAGTATTGTAATAAAACTTACATGGACTGTAGCATAGGTATTACATTATTTTTCCACATAATCACCATTCAGTTCAATACATTTTGTCATTCGTGGGATGAGTTTTTGATGCCTGTGTCATAGAAGTGTCCCTCCGACTTTTTCAGCCAGTTCGTCACTTCGATTTTCACTTTGTCGTCGTCGAAAAAGTGTTTTCCACCTAGGTGTTCCTTCAATTTAGTGAACAGATGATAGTCACTGGGTGTGAGATCGGGGCTGTGAGAGGGGTGGCTTCAAACGTCCCAACCAAATGAAGTCAACAATTTTGTGTTGCATGAGCGGTGTGCAGACGCACATTGTCATGAAGAAGACAGACTCTCACCATCAGCATCCCACAACGTTTATTTTGGATGACTCTGTGAAGTTTTTTCGTAGTCTCACAATATATTCCGTACCAATTTTTTCACATGCTGTCTTGACATGACGTCCTCTCCATAAACTGAAACCATTTTGTGATTAATTACAACGGAGTTTATGCCCTTAGCATTTAGGTAGCATATTACAGCGCAAACCTCGCACTTGGAGGAAAACGGAATAAGGACGCACATCTCTAACTTCACCACAATGCCAGTCGATGAGCTACTGATGACTGGCACTGCTCGTTCGCTTCTTCTGGCTTCCTGCTACATGGCAGTGAGACCAACTTCCCACGTAAAAATTCCCCGCGAGAGCTACGTGCCTTGTAACCTTACTTACCAGATAACCCTTGTATATAAGCTTGGATAGCATAGGGAAGGGTTAACAACAACCCTGTGGTGTTTGTTTTTCTGTCCGTGTTCAGAAGATTTCATCTCACTTTCTGTCCCTGTGATCATTAGATTTTGAAAAAAAAAATTGGCTTGTGGAAACAAGGATTGGTGATAAAACTTCAGCAGAGACCCCTTTTCGCCACGATAACTCTTTCAGGAGTGGATTTCCCTTCCTAGGGCTAGATTTTACTCACTTCCTGTTGTCTCAGTCCTGTTCTTAATGAGGAGTAATTTGTAAGTCGGGTGTTTGTTTTCAACTACATTTAGCATATTATCTCACCTCACCCCCTTTAAAGCTTCAGATACATTTATTTATTTATTTATTTATTTATTTATTTATTTATTTATAATTCAAACTTATATGCCGCCACTCCCCTGGGGCTCGGAGCGACTTACAAGAACAGGCTAAAATCTAACACAATTTAAAAACAATTTAAAACAATTTAAAAACAGCAATATCAGAGATCAAAGGCTTGTCGAAACAGATATGTCTTACATGCCCTACAGAAAGCTGATAGGTCCCGCAAGGCCTTCAGGTGGCAGAGTATTCCAGAGTGATGGTGCCACTGCTGTGAAGGCTCTGCGTCTGGTTGCTGTTAGATGCAAGGTCTTGACACTGGGAATTTCCAATAGATCTTGGTCCTCAGAACGGAGGGATCTCTGGGGTTGGTAGGGGGTGAGGCAGTTCCTCAGGTACATCGGCCCCAGACCATGCAAGGCCTTAAAGGTGAGTACCATCACTTTGAAAGTGATCCGGTGCTCAATGGTAACCAATGCAGCTGTAGCAAGGTTGGTGTTATGTGGCATCTCATTGGAATTCCAGCAAGAAGCCAAGCAGCTGCATTTTGTACCAACTTGAGCTTCCGGATCACCGACAGAGGAAGGCCAATGTAGAGGGCGTTACAGTAGTCCAGTCTTGAGATGACCGTGGCCTGGATCACCGTAGCTAGGTCGTCCCTGGACAGGTAGGGGGCCAGCCGTCTAGCCTGCCGCAGATGAAAAAAAATGGTTCTGCTAACAGCAGAGACCTGGGCCTCCATCGTCAGCAAAAGGACTCCCAAACTCTTTACCAATGATGATGGGCGTAGCGCCTCGCCATCCAGGGTAGGCAGCTGGATGTCCCCACTGCCCGGTTGACCCAGCCATAGGATCTCCGTCTTTGCTGGATTCACCCTCAACCTGCTGGTACACAGCCATCCAGTAACGGCCTCGAGGCACTGATGGAAATAATCGGGTACAGAGTCTGGTCTGCCCTCCATCCTCAGCACCAGCTGAGTGTCATCAGCGTACTGGTAACAGTCAAGCCCAAAACCTCAAACCAGCTGAGCAAGTGGTCGCATATAGATGTTAAACAACAGAAGGGAGAGAATGGCCCCCTGAGGAACCTCACAAGATAGAGGGGACCTCTCAGAGACCAGGCCTCCCCTCTCCACTCGCTGTCCACGGTTGTGAAGAAAGGAGGACAGCCAATTTAAAGCTGCAGCAAGGCGGTGGGTCAAAAGATTGTGGTCGACTGTGTCAAATGCTGCTGTGAGATCCAATAACACAAGCAGCGCTGACCCGCCCTGGTCAAGCTGGCATCGAAGGTAATCCATGATGGAGACCAGCACAGTCTCTGTCCCATTCCCCGCACGGAAGCCGGACTGGAAGGGATCTAGTCCGGCTGTGTCATCTAAGAATTGCTGCAACTTCTTTGCTGCTGCCCGCTCAATCACCTTGCCCAGGAACGAGAGGTTCGAAACTGGGCGGTAACTGGAGGGAACCGAACAATCTAAGTCTGATATTCCATTTCTAAAGTACCAAAAACACATGCGATGAGAACTGCCAGAATCGCCCGCATTGAATTGAATAGGATTACATGGGCAAATGGGCTTTCCTTTGTAGTAAAATACTGTGGTTGCACTTTTTACAAGAACTAGGTTTCCATAACACAAATAAACAAATGCATAGTAGTTTTACACACAGCCTTCACATTGGAGTTTGCTCATACAAGGCTTCTCTCACACAGAGGTTTACCTCACACTCCTCAGGACGACATTAGCTTTGGCCCACAGACTTCGGCCTGCTCACTCTCATCAGGACGACACTAACTTTGGCCCACTGACTCTTAACAGGCTTTGGCCTACTCACTCTTTCAGTGCTTGACTCATACTTTTGTAATCAAAAACAGCTAGTTAATTTTTAATATTTCTGACACTAGCGTTGTCCGTAGATGCCTCCTAGGTCATGTGCCCAGGATGACTGCATGGAGTGCTGTTACCTTCCCACCAGAACAGTACCTATTGATCTACTCACATTTGCATGTTTTCGAACTGTTAGGTTGACAGAAGCAGGGGCTACCAGCAGGAGGTCACCCCACTCCTTTCAGTCAGCAAGTTCAGCAGCTCAGTGGTTTAACCCACTGCGCCACCATGGCTCCTGAAAATGTGAAGGAACAAGTAAACCAGGAAATTCAGATGATGCGATAAGTTATGAATACAGAACATAGTGATTTGCAGGGCTAAACGGCATGCTTAGATGATGCTCCCGTGTCCCTAGGTTCACTATTATTCATAGTTTCAGGTATTCACATGGAGTCTTGGAACGGATCTCTCAGGTATATATAAAATCTCTCAGGGTTTTTCTTTTGCTATCCTTGGTGCTGCCGACAACCCATTTCCATTCCCTCCTCTCCCCCCTTGATCTGCAGGTCCAAGGAGCTGGAGCCAAGAGCTGGAGGACTGTATCATCCTTGTTCAGCCGGGAAGATGAACATAAACTGCTGGCCTCTGAGCCTTGTGCTGACCAGTAAGACAAATCTTTCCATCATTTCCCCCTACCATACATGAGATGGGATAAGATGGTGTGTTGTGTCCTTTTGCTACTTTTGCAGCATTATTTTGAATACTACCCCCGCCCCCTGGCCAAGCACAGTTATTTGAACAGGAATTTATAACCTTGTGTATTTGCACAATAGCTTTGCTGATTGGCTATAGAAAACAGTATTACATCAGCGAGGACAACCCTATGATGCATATTCGTCAAGTCCTAATCCAGATAAGAAGGAATTAACATAAAATTAGGAATGAATATTTTTATGCAATTAAGACCTTTTCTGGCTGGTTCTATTGGAAATTCCATAACCTATTGGAAATAAATGCACCATAACCTTATTGAAAAGGTAAAAATATTGTTACACCTGTTTGGCAAATGTGAATCTCCATGAACATGTGGACACCATCTTTTGAAAACCACAAACTTGACCTTGTTAGAAGTCAACTCTTTGAACAAGTGATATTCATAAGCATTCATGTAATGGCACACAGGTAACTCAGCTGTTAGACTGAACAACCATGTCTTTAACCAGACAGTTGTATTACATTTTTAACAATTTTTTAACAAACAGACAAAACAGAATTTGCAAGCTTGGTAGTTGATTAAATGTCCTTTGACCAGTAGCTGGCCACTTGGAGTGCCTCTGGGGTTGCTCCAAGAAGGTCCTCCATTGTGCATGTGGCGGGGCTCAGGTTGCATTGCAGCAGGTGGTCTGTGGTTTGCTCGTCACCACACTCACATGTTGTGGATTCCACCTTGTAGCCCCATTTCTTAAGTTTTCTGTGTGCCCAGGGGGGAGTCTCTCATTTTTATATCAGCCATTGATTGAGGTTCTGGGTTTGAGCCTGCCACTTTTGGACTCTCGCTTGCTGAGGTGTTCCAGCGAGTGTCTCTGTAGATCTTAGAAAACTATTTCTTGATTTAAGTTGTTGACGTGCTAGCTGATACCCAAACAAGGGATGAGCAGGAGATGTCTCTGCCTTGGTCCTTTCACTATTGGCTGCTACTTCCCGACGGATGTCCGGTAGTGCAATATTGGCTAAACAGTGTGATTTCTCCAGTGGTGTAGGTCGCAGACACCCCGTGACAATGCGGCATGTCTCATTAAGAGCCACATCCACTGTTTTAGCGTGGTGAGATGTGTTCCACACTGGGCATGCATACTTTAAACTGCCAAGGATAAAGACATGCCACTATAAAAATATATTTGGTTAGCAGAGGATGGTTGTTTCTTTGAAGTAGTCCAAAAAATATACACTCCCTTGAAACCTTTTAGTTTAAAATATGCACTCAGAGATAAAGCAAAATCTTCTTTGAAAAATAACATAGGTTTACTCATTAACAACTTGTATTAATTCACTATATAAGCCAATTTCTTATTAAAGTTCAATAGACAACAGGATGTAGGTTTCTCTCTGTGTTGCGTACACAGGGTATCATTCAATCAATAGTCTTTAGGTATAGTTGTACTCACTGAAGTCCATAAGTCAAACTGTATCCATTAAAGCAGGGGTACTCAAACTTTTTAAACAGAGGGCCAGGTCACAGTCCCTCAAACTGTTGGAGAGCCAGATTATAATTTGAAAAAAAGCATAAATGAATTCCTATGCACACGGCACGTATCTTATTTGTAGTGCAAAAGACATTTAAAAACAATATTTAAAATGAAGAACAATTTGAACAAATATAAACTTATTAGTATTTCAATGGGAAGTGTGGGCCTGCTTTTGGCTGATGAGATAGGATTGTTGTTATTGTTGTGTGCTTTCAAGTCGTTTCAGACTTAGGTTGACCCTGAGTGAGGGCCGGGTAAATGACCTTGGAGGGCCGTATCCGGCCCCCGGGCCATAGTTTGAGGACCCCTGCATTAAAGTCTCTAAACAGCAACCTGCTTTCATTGAAGACAAATGCAAACACTCACCTCCACTGACATGGGAAGAAAACATACCCACCTCCAATGAGGTGTTCAGCAAACTGAATGCAAAATGGAGTTCTAAGTCTGAACATGTGCAGTATAATCACATGCCTATAACTCCTCCCAGGGAGCCCCCGGTGGCGCAGTGGGTTAAACGCCTTTGCCGGCAGGACTGAACACCGACAGGTCGCAGGTTCGAATCCGGGGAGAGGCGGATGAGCTCCCTCTATCAGCTCCAGCTCCTCATGCGGGGACATGAGAGAAGCCTCCCACAAGGATGATAAAAACATCAAATCATCCGGGTGTTCCCTGGGCAACGTCCTTGCAGACAGCCAATTCTCTCACACCAGAAGCGACTTGCAGTTTCTCAAGTCGCTCCTGACACGACAAAAAAAAAACAACTCCTCCCACACCAAAGAGGTAAGTCAAACTTGCAAATCAACATACACATAGAATACAGGTTAGCAAATATATCTATTAACAAATGAACAGTGAAAGGCTTGTTGCGCTAAGCGTATTTCAGTGAAGTCCAGTGCAGAAGACACAATAACATTGCACTCAGGCAAGAGGAAAAAGAACAGAAAAAACTTTACTCTTATCAGCAGAGTTAAAACATAAACTTGCAATGTTGCAAACAAAAACAAGCATTGCAATAAACTTACATAGTCCTTGTAAGCAATACAGAATAAAGCTTCTTCATCTGCATCCATCCATCCTTTTTTTTTTTTTTTTTTTGCCATGTCTGGAGCGATTTGAGAATTTGCAAGTCGCTTCTGGTGTGAGGGAATTGGCCGTCTGCAAGGACATTGCCCAGGGGACACCCAGATGTTTTTTGATGTTTTTAACCATCCTTGTGGGAGGCTTCTCTCATGTCCCCGCATGTGGAGCTAGAGCTGATAGAGGGAGCTCATCCGCGCTCTCCCTGGATTCGAACCTGCGACCTGTTGGTCTTCAGTCCTGCCGGCACAGGGGTTTAACCCACTGCGCCACCGGGGGCTCCTATCTGCATCCACATGAGAGAGCAGTAGAAATGGTTGAACAAAATGCCTGAGCAAAGGCTCCTCAGAGCAAAAGCTAAACTGTATTCTAAAAACCATACAGTTATACCCCACTGGGTGTGGTCGAAACTTACTAGTGGACCTACACTAGCAGCTGCACATAATAATTAACAGGTTTTCTTTAACACACACATACTTGATCCTGTTACAACTCACTGTAACAAGGCTTGGGAGGTTGCTATTTCCAACAGATTCGAACCAGGCAGAGAAAAAGGAATGTAAGTCTTAGCACAAGTCCTTTCAAGTTTCTTTTGTCATACATCTCTGTGCTTCCTAAATTGCCTTGACAGAGAGGAGAAAACAGCTTTCTTCTCTCTGTGGCTTTTTGAATTGCCTCAAAACGGGAACACACGTGTCATCTAGCTTCACCCTCTTTTCCTCAAACAGAAATGTAAAATGACAATGCGATCACTGCTCTCACTGAGGCAGCAAAAAGTATTTGGCCAGATTTCTTCACCCTTCAGTTTTTCTTTCCTTGCTTTCAGCCCTTTAGCAGCAAAACCGGAGGAGGATTCTGCCTCCGAGAGGAGGACCGCTGGCCTTTGGGACGTCTTTGCTTCTAAGTGGCAGCAGCCTTCAGGCCTGGAGAAGATGGTGGACCCCCAAGAGCCGTCCGCCAGGGGCAGATCAGGGGAAATGGTGGTCGAGGAGGAGGAGGAAGCTGGTGGCACCGGCCAGGACAACGACCTCCGAGAAGCTGAAGGGATGGCCTTCAAATGGAGCTTCCTGACCAACAAACTGGCTGAGATGAAGAACAGAAGCGTCTCCAAGAGCAACTAGGACAGATGCAGAAAGGACAGACTTCTGATGCTATGCTGTCTTTCCAGCAGAGGACAAGGACTGTCGCCTTTTCCCCAGTAACTCTTCCATAGAAGAACGTTGTGTGATGTGGAGGATCTGGGCCATTGTATTAACCATCACAATGTTAGGATAATGTCCTCTTTGCACCCCCCTTTCAATGTGTGCCCCATGTTTCCAGTGCTATCATTCCCTCTCTCCTTGTCCTCCCCATCTTCTTCATAAGACTGTTCTTCAAATTGTATGTATGTATGGTCCAGGAAAGGTAGAGAAAGGGCTAGGCCAATTTCCTTATCACTTTCCATGCCTAGATGATGTTTCGGAATACACTATGGCAAGATGTGTTGCCACCAGAGGCAAAGGTCAATATGGTTTGTTGTTATTTATTCATTATTGTCAACATCAACTTTTGGCAATTTTGTGAATGAGACCCAGCACCAGTAGCCCAAAGTGATAAAAAGGTATATATAAAAAAAACAAACCAATGTTATATCTTCCATAGGAGGCTTTTCTTTGTAGTAAAATGATACGGTTGCACTATTTACAAGATTTCCACAAAAGAAATAAACAAATACAGAGTAACTTTACATGCAGCAGCCTTCACACTGGAGCTTTTTCTCACAAGGCTTCTCTCACACAAAGGTTTATCTCACTCTCCTCAGGATGACACTACTGACTCTAACAGGCTTTGCCCTGCTAACTCTCCTCAGGACGACACTAGCTTTGGTCCACTAACACTAGTTTTGGCCCACTGACTCTAAGAGGCTTCACCTTACTAACTCTTTCAGTGCTTGACTTACACTTTTATAATCAAAAATACTCAGTTAATTTTTTTAATATTTTTGGGATGCCCGCGTCGCCAAAAGTATCATTCCCTCTCTCCTTGTCCTCCCCATCTTCTTCATACGACGGTTCTTCAAATTATATATATGTATAGTCCAGGAAAGGCAGAGAAAGGGGTAGGCCAATTTCCTTATCACTTTCCACGCTTAGATGATGTTTTGGAATACACTATGGCAAAATGTGCTGCTACCGGAGGCAAAGGTCAATATGGTTTGTTGTTATTTATTCATTATTGCCAACATCAAGTTTTGGAAATTTGGGGATGAGAAGCCTTTATGACCCCGATCCTCCATAGCCCTGCTCAAGTCTTACAAGCACAGGGTTGCAGCTTCCTTGATGAAGGCATTATCACACTAGCCAGTTGTCTGGCAGCAATTGCACTATTGAAGCGATTGGAAACACAGCAGGATGGAAGCAATCACAAGTACACTTATTTGCATTTGTACAGCTTGGGTGATGCATGGTCCTGCAATCACTCTTCCACATTGATTCTCTGACTCACCTTCCTACCTGTGGATGCACTACTCAGTGCGTGCTAGTACACCATTCTGTTTGTGTGTGTGTGTACTTTTGTCATGATTACACAATCCTGGCAAAACAACAAACTACAAAAAAGAAAAGAATAATACAAGAAAAATTGGAGCACAGTCAGCTGTCCACATTTGCAGGTTTCACTGTTGCGGGATTTTGATTATTCACGTATTCCTTTGGTGTGACTCTGGTCAACTGTCACCAGAGGTTGACAATAGAATTGTGCTGGAGGACCTAGGGATTCTTAGAGAGGTGTTTCCTCCAGTTAAAAAAAACAGTATGTTCAGTTTTCCCACTTTTGTGGGGGGTCTTACGCCTCTAACCCCAGTGAATGTGAAGGGCTGGATAACATAAAAGCAATTCATCTCTTGGGAATAGCAATGTGGAGAAGAGGAGAATCATGCCCACTCGCAGCACATGAATATGGCAATAGCGACGGAAGAGACTAAGTCAGTGGTTCTCAACCTTCCTAATGCCGCGACCCCTTAATACAGTTCCTCATGTTGTGGTGACCCCCAACCATAACCCTAACATTATGAATCACCATGTAAATAATGATCTGCAGGATGTACTTCCATTAACTGGAGCAAATTTGGCACACATACGCGGTATGCCCAAATTTGAATACTGGTGGGGATGGCGTGGGGATTGATGTTGTCATTTGGGAGTTGTAGTTGCTTGGATTTACAGTTAAGCTGCAAACAAAGAGCATTCTGAACCCCACCAACAGTGGAATTGAACCAAAGTTGGCACACAGAACTCCCATGACCAACAGAAAATACTGGAAGGGTTTGGTGGGCATTGACCTTGAGTTTGGAGTTGTAGTTCACCTACATCCAGAGAGCACTGTGGGCTCAAACAATGATGGATCTGGACCAGTGGTTCTCAACCTGGGGTCCCCAGATGTTTTCAGCCTACAACTCCCAGAAATCCAAGTCAGTTTACCAGATGTTAGGATTTCTGGGAGTTGAAGGCTAAAAACATCTGGGGACCCCAGGTTGAGAACCACTGATCTGGACCAAAGTTGGCACGGATACTCAATATGCCCAAATGTGAAAACTGATGGGGTTTGGGGAAAATAGACTTTGACATTTGGGAGTTGTACTTGCTGGGATTTATAGTTCACCTACAATCAAGGAGCGTTCTGAACCCCACCAATGATAGAATTGGGCCAAACTTCCCACACAGAACCCCCATGACCAACAGAAAATACTGTGTTTTCTGATGGTCTTTGGTGACCCCTCTGATACCCCCTTGAGACCCCCAGGTTGAGAAACACTGGAGTAAGTGCTTTAAAGCAGGCGTGGGCCAACTTCGGCCCTCCAAGTTGAAGTCCAAAACACCTGGAGGGCCGAAGTTGGCCCATGCCTACCCCAGAGGCATTATTGGAATTGTCAATGAAAAATGGGCATTACTAATTATTGAAATGCAAAGCAGCAGCAGGAGAGACATGATGTCGTTTGAAAAGTATCAGCCAATGACAGTATTAACCTGCCGGGCATATTTGTGTTTTTCCAACTTTGTGTGATAAAGCCCTAAATCAACTTACCTGTAATGTGATCTTTCACTTCATCAAGCATTACCGTCTTTTCCGGTGAGTCATGTCAATTTGTGATCTGTCTGAAACATGATAGCCTCGATTTGGCGACACTTGGGGGAACATTTTCTTTTCTTCCAGGAGGGAGCAGGAAACCACCCAAGGGCTCTTCAAGGGACCAATGCTGCCTTCCAAGTCTTCCACAGTTGCCCACCCTAGTTGTACACAATGTACAGCAAAGTCTTCCATTTTAAAAACATTTTGGGGCGTCGCAGAACATGCTTTGAGAACCGCTGAAATCTATCAATATATGAAACATTGCAGGAGTGTCGGATTGTCGGAGTGAAAACTCATGAGCTGAAAGATTCAGGGCCTCAAAAACAGCAGGTGGAGGGGCTGCATGAGGTCCCAGGACACCATTTTGCCCCTTCCCTGATGTCTACCAGGCTTCCCAATGATTTCCACTCACAGGGCAATATTCCAGAGAGTCAGGCAGGTTTTATAATCAATTTCCATTTTTTAATTAAGAACAATACATAGAAACACAGGTCTTCTGGTAGCACAGCAAACCAGCTTTAACAAACAAACAAAAAAGTTGGAACGAACAGAGAGCCACATACATTGGGATTGAAATGTCAAGAATCATAGACAAAACCAGAATATAAATTATTTTCCATATATTCACCCACACCCCACAGCAACCAGTTGCTTATTATTCCATTGTGAGACAAACAGACAATCTCTGCCCGATCAATTATTTGTAATTATGTCATTATAATAACGATCTCATTGTCATAGTTGAATCAAATCCTTCCTCCAGGAAAAAAGGGGGTGGGTGGTGGGAACTACTGTGGAGCATCAGGTTGTGTTTTCACAACAATCCTCTGAAGCCAGCCAGGAAAATGGATGTAAAAATACCCAAAATTAGTCCGAGAGCTAAAGGGGAGGAGAGGGGGTTGGAACCAAATCTTCCTGGTGAAAGTCCATCTTATTCTGCTACACCAAAAGGGAAAAAGAGAAAGGCACCTTGGCTATTATGTCTCCTCCTTCTATGTGATATAGTCGGGCCTCTATATCCATGGATACAGCCCTCACAGATTCTACCATCCCCGGCTTGAAAATATTCCAAAAAACTCCAAAAAGCAAACCTTGATTTTGCTATTTTATATAAGGTAAACCATTACACTATGGCATTGTACATACGAGGACTTGAACATCTGCAGATTTGGGTCTCCAGCGAGATGTTCCTGGAATTAAGTCACAGTGAAAACTAAAGACCTCACTATGTGGAGTAAATTCCTTATGGATTAATGAAAAATTATTCCAGGAGCCAGAGAATTAGGAATGAAATCCCTTATCAAAATCTCCAACCTGCTTTCATAATTTAGATCTGCGTGTCTCAACTTTCCTGATGCCACAACCTCTTAATATAGTTCTTCATGTTGTGGTGACCACCAAACATTAAATTATTTTCGTTGCTACTTCATAACTGTAATTTTGTTACTGTTATGAATCATAATGTAAATATCCGATATGCAGGATGTATTTTCATTTACTGGACAGAATTTGGCACAAATACCCGATACACTCAAACTTGAATACTGGTGGGGTTAGGGGGCGAGGGGATTGATTTTGTCATTTGAGAGTTGTAGTTGCTGGGATTTATCGTTCACCTACAATCAAAGAGCATTCTGAACTCCAGCAACAATGGAATTGAACCAAACTTGGCACACCGAACTCCCATGAGGAACAGAAAATACTGGAAGGGTTTGGTGGGCATTGACCTTGAGTTTTGGAGTTGTAGTTCACCTACATCCAGAGAGCACTGTGGACTCACACAATGATAGACCAAACTTGGCACGAATACTCAATATGCCCAAATGAGAGAACTGGTGGAGCTTGGGGAAAATAGACCTTGACATTTGGGAGTTGAAGTTGCTGGGATTTATATTTCACCTACAATCAAATAGCATTCTGAACCCCACCAATGATAGAATTGGGGCAAACTTCCCACACAGAACTCCCATGACCAAAAGAAAATACTAAAAGGGTTTGTTGGGCATTGACTTTGAGTTTTGGAGCTGCAGTTCATCTACATCCGGAGAGCACCATGGACTCAAACAATGATAGATCTGGACCAAACTTGGCACAAAAACTCAATATGCCCAAATGTGAACACTGGTAGAATTTGGGGAAAATGGGCCTTGCCATTGGGAGTTGTAGTTGCTGAGATTTATAGTTTGCTTACAAAAAAGAGAGAATTCTGAGCCACACCAATGATAGAATTGGTCAAAACTTCCCACACAGAATCCCCATGCTTTGAAGGGAATCACTGGCATGAGCCTCCCTCCAGCTTTGCATGCTCACCTTCACCCACGCATGTGCACCATGTTGCCATGTGTCAAGCACGCCTGCTCTCCCCTCCCCACTTGGAGTCTCAGAAACAGCCCTCCCTTTGGCTGAGAAGCTGGCTATCACAGTGGAGGAGGGCTATTGGTGGGAAGATTCACCATCTTTTTCCAAAAAGGAAGAGAAAGACAGGCGGAGAGATCTTCAGCCTTCTCTGCCAGAGGGGTTCCTAATACCACAGGAAATATATGTTTTCTGATTGTCTTTGGCGACCCCTCTGAAAGCCCCTCACGACCCCCTCCCCAGGGATCCTGACCCCCCAGGTTTAGAAACTCTGATTTAGACCTTTGTTGATCCAGGCAGGTATTTTCCCAAATTCAGTTTGAGTATCCCTTTCCAAAATGCTTGGGAGCAGACATGTTTTGGTTTTTGGATTCTTTTGGATGTTGGAATACCTGTAGTTGCACATACGTGCATCAGGAAATACCCTAAAGATGTGATGCAAATCTAAACAAGAAATTAATTGATGTTTCATATAGCCTTTCCACACACAACCTGAATGCCATTTCTAAACACAATGTTTTTAAAAAATAATTTTGTGCACGAAACAAAGTTGGTCTATACTGAATAATCAGAAAACAAAAGTGTCACTGTTTCAGCCACCCGTGGCTGATTTTGGAGTATTTGGAGGATTTTGGAGCATTTTGGAATTCTGGATAAGGGATGATCAACCTGTACTCCCCATTCTGCAACTGATACCCATATAAGTTCAACACAGAATAGTTTTGAACAGCTTCACTCCTACAGAGATGATCCCTTTATTTCCATATTGACAGAGATACTTGACTTCAGACACCAGGTCTTTGCTTGTCCAGCTTCAGTAGGTGAATCTGATCCATGCAGACTCAGGGAACGGAGAGGTGTGAATATCCCACCTCTTCCTTGTTGTGTTGGCATTGCCTTTGAGTCCAGGACTTGGCTTACACAGTGGACTCCTTGGACACAGTCTGGGCCTGCTGGCAGCTGTACAACCATTTTATGACCCGGGCGTTTCTCTCGACGAGGGAAATGGAGGCAGGCAGCTTCTCGCTCAGCTCTTCGGCAGGCCCTTCCTCTCCATTGTGCGAAAGACTTCCACCATGTAGAGAGCTGGCCGAACCCACACTCCCCAGGAGCCAGCAGGAAGAACTTGTGTCCCAGTTGCCAGGTTTAAACCGCTCAGCTCCCAACACTTCCACCAGGTTCCGGTCCAAGCCGCAATAGTTAAAGAAACGCTCTTTCTCTGAGAGAGGCAGAGAAGAACTTGGACAAAGTTGTCTCTTGGAGTTTGTTGGGCCAGGAATTGCAGAGGGAAGGATGGAGTCTCCATCCCGCTGAGGATGCTCACCACTTTCTGAAGGAAACCCAGTGGAGCCGGCCAGCATGCCTACTGAATGCACAATTCTTGTTTCCTCTTTTTCTGTTGGCACCCACACCATGGGGGTCTCCTCTTGCGTCGCTTGCAGGTGTCCATCTCCAAATAGACTCCTTGGGGACAAGGGGCTGTTGTGCCCATCCCTAAGTGGGCTCTGAAATAGCCTCCTCACAATGCCGTAGCTCTTGGTGTTTTCTTTGTTGACGGCTGAGCAGTCCCGTTTCTGCCGGTAGATGACAAGCGAGTCCGGCCTCAGCAAACGACGGCCACCTCCTCTCCGCGCTATCGGAGATTGAGGAGAAGGAGGTGGCGGAGGCAGCTTCTTGGGTCCAAGGCCATCTTTGGCGACAGCTAAGCCCTGAGAGAACTCGTGCTGGTGGCGGGTGAGAGGTCTTCTGCAGCAAGGAGAAGACTGGAGGCTGTAGCAGAGCAAGACTGGCTCTTGACGCTTGTTGATCACTTGCTGAGATTTGACATATTTGGCTTTGTCAGCCTCCAGTCTTTCTACAGCACTTGGGGTCCGGATCCCGCCGGTTCCCTCCAGCTGCTTACGAAGATAGTCTGGACCTCGATTCAGTAGCCCCAGAGGAGAAAGTCCATCTTCTGGGTGTAGAGGCCGCATTTTATATCCACTGTTTGGGTTTCAGTTGAGGGATATCATGCAACTTTCCCAACCAGAAGTGCTTCCAGGAAGAATGGCCACATCAAATGGAGGGAATCATGTCACGTGTGGGTGATAAGAGCTCAGCCCTGCAAACAGAAACAACAACTAGTTAATGACATAATATAAAACCAGAAGGGCATCTATTACAGCAAATAAATCCTAAAAATGTGACAATATAGACAAAATAAATGGTGCATTAATCGCAGTGGCCCTGCTTTTCCCTTTTAATGTCATGACCTCCCTTCCTGGTGTTGTGGGGAACCATGAAAGTAGGCCATTCCTTGACCTGTAGCTCATTTGAAGCAAGGGAAAAGGTTTCCATGGAAACCGGGCTGTGAAGGGGAGGGCCAAAGTGAGGGATATGAGGTGAGAGAGAAACCAACTGTCAGATGGAACTTTGCTTGTAACCATACTGTATGCTTTGAAAACTAAAGCCTTTCCAGTCTGTCTGTGAGGTAATTTCTTTTCTAGAAAACTGCATATCAGGACATTTAAGTAAAGGAAACATTTCTTCAGTGCTTTGATAAGCCACAGTTTTATGACATTTCTAAATTTTGACATTGTGACACCAGCCAAGCCATTAGTTCTTCTTTAGAAAGATGTTTCCAGATAAAGCACTATATTTTGTTTTGCTCTGAAGCAATGATCCCCAAACATAGAACCCTATTACAATACATTGTTATAGCACTGTATTCCACTTTAACTGCCATGGTAACATCCTGTGAAATCCTGGGATTTAGAGTTTAGAGAGGAGCAATTGGAACTCTCAGGCCCCAACTACACTGCCATACAATCCAGGTTCTGATCCCAGATTATATGATTTTGATCTGGATTATATGGCAGCGTAGACTCACAATCCAAAGCAGATAATCTGGGATCAGATACTGGATAATATGGCAGTATAGATCCAAAGTGTAGATCCAGACCGAAAAAACAATCGAACAGGGTGCTTGAGAGTGCAGTGACAGGGTACACCTACACTGTGGATTTAATGCAGTTTGACACCATTTATTTCCCAAGGTACAATGCTATCATTTTACAAGGTCATTTTTGCCAAAGGAGACTGATGGTTCGTCAAATTACAACTCCAGGATTGCATAAGATTGAACCTGGAGCCGTGGCAATCGACGTAGTAACAACGTGCTTTAATGCTATGATGCAGCCACTCCCCTGGAGTGGGGGTGTTTTTGCTGGGATTTGACCCTACACTGCCCAAGTCCCAAGTCCTCAACAAGGAGCAGTTAGTTTAAAATAGTCTGAGGGTTTCCCTTCCCTCAAGTCTCCTGTATGACAGTTGGAATTTATCTAATTTCTTATCTCCTCTCTGTTTCTGCTCTCATTATTACTGGTTGTTTAAAATTGATACTTTCTACTGCAAGCTAGGTGCCCCTGGTTGCACAATGGGTTAAACCCTTGTGCTGGCAGGACTTAAGACCGACAGTTCAGAGGTTCGAATCTGGGGAGAGCGTGGATGAGCTCCCTCTGTCAGCTCCAGCTCCCCATGCGGGGACATGAGAGAAGCCTCCCACAAGAATGGTGTGCTGTCGCGCACTGGGCCTATGACAATGTCTGTTTGTAGGACGTGCTTTCTGTATGCCCAACGGGACGCCGGGGTGCCTCAGCGAAAGGGTCCCACAGGTTTCCCAAAGAAAAGTTCTGTAAAGGCTCAAAGTAAGTCCAACAAAGTTCTTTATTAAGGCTTAACTCTTCGAACAAATGCATAAAACGCCATATGATCTTGAAAAACTGGTAGCTTTCTCGATCTGCCAACAAGGGACAGGCGACTGCTTGATAAACTGTTCCTTTCCTCTTTAGGGAAACCTTCCGACCCCTCCTTGGGCAATCTTTCTTTACCCTGCTGGCATGAGGCCCCAACTCCCGGCTCCAAGCTGCATTATGGATAGCCCAAGTGGTCCCTTACCAGGCAATGGTTGCTGCATATCTGCCAAGCTGGTGTCCTTTTAGTTTCTCCACGAAGGCTGTGGAACTGCAACTTTACTCTCCAGCAAAGCTGTAGAGGTTTTCCTTTTCCCCCAGCAAAAGCTGGCTGTAGTTCTACATCTTTAACCCTGGCAGAACTATAAGAAGTGAAGCTTTTTACAGGTGGGGTAGAGAGAAGCCCACACGTCCTACTGTAAGGCTTCAAACTGTGAGACTGAACTGAAATTTCCCTTTCCCCTCCAAAACCTGGGGAAAGGGGCGGATCTAAAGGCTCTAATGATGATTGATAGGTTGGTGGCCCTATGATTGCAACCTGGGGAAAGCTACCCAATTGCAAAAAAGCATAGCTTGAATAGATTCATGCAAACTAACAGTGCAAGAAAAATAATCAAATCTCCTGGCACAGCCGTGCCAGCACAGATGGCAAAACATCAAAACATCCGGGCGTCCCCTGGACAATGTCCTTGCAGACGGCCAATTCTGTCACACCAGGAGCAACTTACAGTTTCTCAAGTCGCTCCTGACACAAAATAATAATACTGCAAGCTTTTTTGAATCTGACACCTGCCTTCTTACACTTTAGTGTGGAGAGTATGTGTTGTGTGTTTTGAGATCTCTCTCTGCTTGTGTGTCAGGAGAGATGTAGTGATTGATATTTTTTTCCCTCTCTTGAAACCTTAGAAGAGATGGGTGTTAGAGTAGCTCAGACCCAGTTCTTTAACTATTAAGTAATGTAGTTATTATCCTTACTAGCTGTCCCCTGCCGCGCGTTGCTCTGGCCCAGTCTGGTGATCTGGAAAATAAAGTAATGAGAAAGTGTTGGTTTCTAATATATGTAATTCCTTTATGCTTGTGAGTAAACAGTATTTCTCGTTGTTTTTTTGTCAGTGTTGATGTGGAGAGTGTCTGGTTTGCCTACTCTGGAATATGCAACATATCATTGTCCTTCTTTAAGGGTCTCTTTCAAATCTATGATACTATATGTGTGTGTGTGTGAGAGAGAGAATCATATCTATCTATCTATATTTATGACTGGATGGCTCTTTGTCAGGAGGGCTCTGATTACATTTTCTTGCCCTGGTGAAGAGAGTTGGACTAGATGGCCTTAAGTATTTTCTGTTGGTCATGAGGGTTCTCTGCGGGAAGTTTGCCCCATTTCTGTCGTTTGCGGGTTTCAGAATGCTCTTTAATTGTAGTGAACTATATATCCCAGTAACTACAAATCCCAAATGCCAAGATCTATTTCCTCCTAACTCCATCTGTGTTCATATTTAGGCATATGGAATATCCGTGCCAAGTTTGGTCCAGATCCGTCATTGTTTGAGTCCACAGTACTCTCTGGATGTAGGTGAACTACAACTCCCAAACTCAAGGTCAATGCCCACCAAACAATTCCAGTATGTTCTGTTGGTCATGGAAGTCCTGTATGCCATGTCTGGTTCAATTCCATCATTGGTGGAATTCAGAATGCACTTTGATTGTAGGTGAACTATAAATCCCAGCAACTACAACTCCCAAATGTCAAGGTCTATTTCCCTTAAACTCCATCTGTGTTCATATTTGGGCATATGGAATATTCGTGCCAAGTTTGGTCCAGATCCATCATTGTTTGAGTCCACAGTGCTCTCTGGATGTGGGTGAACTACAATTCCCAAACTCAAGGTCAATGTCCACCAAACCCTTCCAGTTTTTTCTGTTGGTCATGGGAGCCCTGTGTGCTACGTTTGGCCCAATTCCATCATTGGTGGAGTTCAGAATGCTCTTTGATTGTAGGTAAACTATAAATCCCAGCAACGACAATTCCCAAATGACAAAATCAATTTTTTGAGTGGAGGACATACATTGGGTTGTTAGGTGTCTTGTGTCCAAATTTGGTGTCAATTCCCCCAGTGGTTTTTGAGTTCTGATGGTATCACAAACAAACATTACATTTTTATTTATATAGATTATAGTAAGTAAATCTTCTGTGATTTTTTAAAGATTGGACTCTGCGTATTTGCCTCCTAAGTTCTGAATTCTTTACAGACACATCACAAGGCATTTCACACTTTGCTTGCTAATGAGCTGATACCCATCTTCTGTATCCTGTTTGTTTTTGGATGTCCTGCTTTATTTTAGGGTAGTTTTCCCTAACAGTTTTAACTTTTGTGCTCAATTATCGAAAGACTTGGCATTTGAAAGATCAGTCTAGGCTCAATCAAGGGCCAAAACAGACTCCAGACAGTGAGGATGGTCAAATCAGGATGAGCAACACACTACTGGGCCCATTGTCAAAGGGACTCATTTATTTTTGGTGTGCCTACAATCCAAAAGGAAGCGAGGCAGGAAAAAATAGGAGAGGCCAGCCTTATCTTTCGCGTCTCAGCCATCTCCAGAACAAAGCAAACTCCACCAGAAGCACATCACTGGTTGACTCTCCACTGCAGGCAGGCGGTCAATTATAAGAGGGAAGCAACAGAGAGAAGGAAACCAAGCCTGGGCTAAAAGGAAGGAGATGAGAAGAGGCTCACAGAGGGTGCCATGGACCCTCTTTCCTTTCGGTGAAGTTTGCATAAATCTCAGCTTCTGAACAGATTGTATCTTGGACTGGAACATATCGTTGGCTACTTTTTTCCTTAAAAGAAGCCCAAGATACTTGGGAGGAATTTATTTTATTTTTTTCTTTATTTTTTTTATTGGTTTTCTTAGAATACATCAATACCTCCAATAATCTTATATTCAATCTTCAATTCATTACATCAGCCAAAGTGTATATATATCTTGTATACTCCCCCCCCCCGTGCCCCCCCCCTTCTGAGCCACTTCAATTTGTATTCTCTTTCCAAAATTCCATTTCTTCTTGTGGAGGTAATTTCCCGTTTACTTCTTTTAAGCCATGCACAATAAATTTTCCCCAAACTTTATCAAAATCATTTTCCTTCCATACCCCTTTCCTGACTCTTAACCTACATGTCAATTTATCATTTATTGCTATTTTCCATAATTCTTTATACCATTCTTTAATTGATATGTTTATTTTACCTTTCCAATTCTTCGCTATCAGTAATCTTGCTGCAGTTAACATGTTATCTCAGTGTTTCTCAACCTGGGTGTCGGGACCCCTGAGGGGGTCGCGAGGGGTTGTCAGAGGGGTCGCCAAAGACCA